TCTGAATTCCAGTTGTATAAGGCAGGCATATATCACATTAGGGCTTTTTGTGCCCTTTTGAAGAAACCTTGCTTATTCCAAGATAAGATATTCTCCTATGTTTTCTTTTTGAAGATTTATAGTTTTACCTTTTATGTATAAGTATGTGTTTCAACTCAAATTAATTTATGTGGATTGTGTAAGTGATTCAAGATTTAGTTTTTAGAAATCCTTTTTTTCCCCAGCGTTCTTTGTTGATTAGACTTGTCTATAGAATTACCTTGGTTGCCTTCACCCCTCGGTTGTATGTGGTTCTATTCCTGGACTCTATCCTGTCCCATTGACTTATTTCTTTACACTTATGGTAGCACCACACTGTTTTGATTATTATGGGTTTAGAGTAAGCCTTCATACTTGTAATATGAAACATTTCACTTTGCACTTCTAAGAATGTTTTGGTTATTCTTTTGTATTTGTAAATAAATTTTAGAATTAGTTTGACTGTGTTTGCAAAAAAAAAACTGATAGGATTTTATTTTTTTTTTAATTTTTGGATACGTATTTATTGATTTATTTTAATTTTAATTTTTAAAAATTTACATTTAAATTAGTTAGCATATAATGCAACAATGATTTCAGGAGTAGATTCCTTAGTGCCTCTTACCCATTTACCCCACCCCCCCCTCCCACAACCCTCCCAGTAAGCCTCAGTTTGTTCTCCATATTTATGAGTCTCTTCTGTTTTGTCCCCCTCCCTGTTTTTGTATTATTTTTGTTTCCCTTCCCTTATGTTCATCTGTTTTGTCTCTTAAAGTCCTCATGTGAGTGAAGTCATAGGATTTTTGTCTTTCTCTGATGGACTAATTTCACTTAGCATAATACCCTCCAGTTCCATCCACGTAGTTGCAAATGGCAAGATTTCATTTTTTTTTTTTTGATTGCTGAATAATACTCCATTGTATATATACACCACATCTTTATCCATCCATCCATCGATGGATGTTTGGGCTCTTTCTGTACTTTGGCTATTGTTGATAGTGCTGCTATAAACATGGGGTGCATGTGTCCCTTCGAAACAGCACGCCTGTCTCCCATGGATAAATGCCTAGTAGTGCAATTGCTGGGTTGTAGGGTAGTTCTGTTTTTAGTTTTTTGAGGAACCTCCATACTGTTTTCCAGAGTGGCTGCACCAGCTTGCATTCCCACCAACAATGCAAAAGAGATCCTCTTTCTCCGCATCCTTGCCAACGTCTGTTGTGATTTTAATTGGGACTGCTTTGAATCCATAAATTAGGGAGAATTGACATATTAACAACAGTATTGAGTGTTCCAGTCTACAGACCTATCTTTCTCCATTTATTTAGCTGTTGTTTAGTTTCTCTTAGCAAAGTTTTACAGTTCCCTAGTTTCAGTGAAGTTTTCAGGTTCTTGCATATGCTTTACTAAAGTTGTTCCTAAGTATTTTATGTTTTCTTCTCTGCCCCTGTCAACCCAGAATTGTCCATGATTTTCATCGGACAGCAAGTAGAATAAGGGCTTGAGTAGTAAGAAAGAAGGTGAGGCTTTTGGGGGAAGATGGAGGCAAGTATTATGGGGATAGTGTGGAGAGACCAAAAGTCTCAAGCCATACACCTGTGGCATGAAGGAAAGTTATGGTCTGGGCCACAGGGCAATAAATGGAGATGAGTGCGTGCACTTAGTTCAGGGGCTTTCTTTGTTTTCCTGTCAAGTCCTATTCTATCAGAAAGGCAGTATTGGACGTTTTCACAGGAGTAATATATGCTGGATTGAACAAATAATTGAATGTGTGTCATTAATAAACCACCATATTATTACTAGTAAATAATTATCTCCAGCAAATTATGGGGGTATTTGTGGTTAAGCCTAGACCATTCTGAGTGATGAAAAAAAAACCCCACTGTTTCATTTTCTTTAATTTTTAAGTTTATTTATTTATTTTGAGAGAGCCAGAGACAGCATGAATGGGGGAGGGGCAGAGAGAGAGGGAGAGAGAGAATCCCAAGCAGGCTCCACACTGCCAGCACAGAGCCTGATGTGGAGCTCGAACCCCCAAAATCGTGAGATCGTGACCTGAGCCGAAACTAAGAGTCAGACAGACACTTAACCGACTGAGCCGCCCAGCCACCCTGAAATATAAATATTTCTAATAAGTATTTAAAATATTACCTTTATTCTAACTTGTTCCAAAAATAATGTGGCTGTGCTAACAGGAATAGAACTGTTGTTTTTTTTTTTTAATTTTTTTTTCAACGTTTTTATTTATTTTTGGGACAGAGAGAGACAGAGCATGAACGGGGGAGGGGCAGAGAGAGAGGGAGACACAGAATCGGAAACAGGCTCCAGGCTCCGAGCCACCAGCCCAGAGCCTGACGCGGGGCTCGAACTCACGGACCGCGAGATCGTGACCTGGCTGAAGTCGGACGCTTAACCGACTGCGCCACCCAGGCGCCCCAATAGAACTGTTTTTATCCCAAAAAGCTCTTTACTGTAGTTCCCCTTGTGCCTGTGCAGTGATCTTGGATTGATTCTGAAATATCAGCGGGACTGCCGTTGACAGCTATTTACATGTGTGTGGTATTGCTGCTGTTCTGTTTTTGAGGCTGAGAAGATGACTTAAAAGTGCTCTACAGTACTGTGTATGCCTTCTACATACGAAGGGGTTGGGAAGTATTTAAAACGGTTTTCAATTCTGTGAAACTCAGAGGACTAAGTTCTCACCTGGAAGGTCCTGCATTTTTGTTTGTCATTAGGTCTAGTCAAGGTGGGGGAGGGGGGAAGGTAGAGAGAAGAAGAAAAGGGTGTTTCCAGAACAGTGGATGAAGAGATACATTCTCAACTGCAAGTACTTGAAGTCAAGGGGAATATATTGGAAAAGTTCTGGAGATGAGATAGTGACTCTGATCCATTGACTTAAGTGGAGCATTTGAGTACAGCCAAGAAAAACTTTCAACGGAATAACAAAGGAGTGGGTGATAGACCAAAATGAATTATACTAAGTTCTCACTGCATTCTGCTCTGCTTTTCTAGTTTTCTCAACCAGTTTGACAAAATTGTATGCAAAGTACACAATGGAATGCTTTTAACATTAAAGGTGATCAATAAGAAGTTCTTCTCAGTTTTTACTTTTTGTCCCTTTGTGCTTTTCTCTTTGCATTTATAGACCATCAGGTTTCTCTTGTTCAAATTAATGCAAATGGAAAAAAAGAAACTCAAAGCATCAGATAAATATGAATATCTGGCAACCAAATAAGGGGAAGTTGACATCACAAGTCTCAGTTCAAAGTTTATCCCTCATTCACAGAAAAGAGACACATGGAAACAAGTTGATTGTATGTTTTAATCTTTTAGATTTTGAGCAAGTTAGTATTAAAATCCTTTTTTCTATTTATTATAAACAAATTGATAACTCAAAAGGCATAATATAACCTTAGTGAAAAATTATTTAGCAGTATCTGCCAAAGTTAACTGTGCATCTAAACTTAGTGGCATAGCAGTTCTTCTCATTGTATGTAGCCAAGAGAGTATGTATCTACCAAGAGATTCATACAGAAAAGTTTACGTCAACAATAGCTACAAACTGGAAACAACCAAATGTTTATCAGCAAAAGAGTAAATAAATACATTCTGCTATATATTACTCAAAAATAATGATGAGAAAAAGATGCCAGAGACAGAAGAGTCATCTAGTATGGTTCGTATGAAGTTCAATTTCAAACAAATTGAATCTATGGTAATAGAAGTCAGGGTATTGGTTACTAACTAGTTGGTGGGAAGGGTATAAAAAGACTGAGAAAGAGCACATATGAACTTGTAAATTATCTAAAGCTTGATCTGGATGGAGATACACAATGTGTATTCAGATTGTATACTTTGTGGATTCTTTTACAACCAAACATGTATTATTTTCATTCATCCCTAAAAGGGTAA